GGCAGCTGGCTCATCAAGGAACCACAGCAGCTTTCCATGTACAGGTAAGACCCGTGCAGCCGGTAAGGGTTCAGGCTCTTCTTCCTGGAGGATACGCTGCAAGCCTGTTGAACGAGGTGACCTTGCTCGGGTCCCAGGTGTACAGTTCCTAAAATGGCTGCCATATACACGTCCACTGATAGGAGACGCGGAAGGTATTAAACTGATCAGAACAATACTAAACACACCACTAATAAGGTTTCTCTCCTGTATGGCTCCTCAAATGATGCTTAAGATTAGAAGCGGCTGAAAAAGCATTTCTCACACTCCAAACAAAAATATATTTTTTTAACATTCTCTCCACTTTGAACGAAATGACGTTTGGGAAGAGATTAACATAATTAAACACAGGCAGTAAAAATACAGGTTTTAGCCATACACTGTAACTTTAAAACTACACATCCCATCTTCATAATTACATATTTGGAATCAGCACACTTAAAACATAAACATAACCAAAAATCAGCCAAATACATCCAGGGGTTAAAAAGTTAGCTGGAGGTCTCTTTATGACCGACCGCAAGCACATTTTCCTGCCCAAAACAGTTCCATAGATTTGGCTGTGAGGTCGGTCTATTTCAGGCTGAAAAAACGACAAAGTCCCATCAGCTGAATGGGACTTGGGCCCCTGCAGCCAAAAACCAGTGGGAGAAGGTAGAGCTCAGGTGTTCTCATGCGGAAACGCGGCGGTAAATGATTTTGCCCTTATGAATTTGGCCACATACCGCTGACCTCGCCGAATGATCAAAGATGGTCACCACTGCACCGCAAACTAACAAAGACCTCCCCAGCATTTCAATTAAGCTATGTTAACCGCGAGCTTCTGGGAGGTAAATTGCTCGCACACTTCCACTTCCCTGGGTGGTCTGTGGTACTTGGTCTTCAGTAAGCCCCATTTACTGAACCAAGTGGGAAATAGCCAGGCAGGCACAAAGGGTTTGCACCAGGTCTGGGGACACAGGGGACACCGTCTTAAAGGGGCAGTGTCCCCAACAAGTCTGGGGACACGGCCTTAAAGGGGCAGTGTCCCAATCTTCCTGATGTCCCAAAAAAGGTGTTTAAAGGGCCAGCACCAGTCACATAAAGAGTCCATAAGCCCCAATATGCCCACCGACAGTCTTAAAGGGCCACACACACCAAATAAAAGTGCATACATTTTCACAATCTCCCAGGGGCCATAGTCATGGAGGCTGGCAAATAGGCTATCCCACAACCCAGGGAAGCAGGGGAAATTTGCCATTTAAAGGGCCCGTTACAAATGCAGTTTGTAACAAGGTGTCAATCCATATCTGCCAAGTGACCCGATGTAGGGGGAACAGTCCCTATTCTGCTCTGTGTCAGTGTGTATCAGGGAACCTTAGGACAGGTGTCAATCCATATCTGCCAAGTGACCCGATGTAGGGGGAACAGTCCCTATTCTGCTCTGTTTCAGTGTGTATCAGGGAACCTTAGGACAGGTGTCAATCCATATCTGCCAAGTGACCCTATGTAGGGGGACCAGTCTCTATTCTGCTCTGTGTCTGTGTGCATCAGGGGCTCTGAGGACAGGTGTCAATCCATATGTCAAGGTGTCAATATGTCATATGTCAGGTGTCAATGCATATTCATTGTGATTTAGGAATGTTAGGTGATTTCTGCCCTTTATGGATTAAAACCAGACTCTGTATCAACTGTGTAATTTTCCATGGGAGTTTTGCCATGGATCCTCCTCCGGCATGCCACAGTCCAGGTGTTAGTCCCCTTGAAACAACTTTTCCATCACTATTGTGGCCAGAAAGAGTCCCGGTGTGTTTTAAAATTCGCCTGCCCATTGAAGTCTATGGCGGTTCGCCCGGTTCGCCGGTTCGCGAACATTTGCGGAAGTTTCGGGTTCGCGACATCACTATTGAACAGCTGTGCACATTTTATATAAAGCGGTAGGGTAGTGGAGTTTCAATCTCCGCTTGGCACCACTATAGCTTTTAAATAGCTAGGTTCGAGTTTTGGAATCTGAGAGCATTCATGAAGTTACAGACAGGTAGAGTTACCAGATCTCCATGTGTGCCAGAGTTCCCATGTTTTTCGGTAGAGTGTGGAAGAGGGTCTTATATGAAGTCTCTGGTATCAATTGCTTGTGCAATTCCCAAGTAGGTCCTCTGTCTTGGGGGGTACAGGAAACTTCCACTTCCTTGCTATTAGCTTCTGTGCCATCAAGGCAATGTGTAAGGTCAATTTTCTTACGTGCTAGGGCTTCTCCACTGGGAGGTCCAACAACAGATATGTTCTTGGGGTAAAAGGGAGGGAACCCTGCGTTATGTTTCAGATTAGCTCATGGACTTTAGTCCAGTAGTTGTCAGCCGTGAACAGCTCCACCAAATATGTTGCATCGAGCCCTCTGTTTTGTGACACCTCCAACACTCTGGAAAGGTGGAAGGAATGATTTATGTAATCTGGATCTGGTCGGCACTAAGTACCACCTGTACAGGATTTTTCAATGTTGTTCTATGTGGGAGGATGATCTTAGTAATTTAAGTGGGTTGGATATTATGGTATCCCACTCTTTAGGTGTCATCGTGCAATGTAGGTCTGCTTTCCATTGTGTTGCATATTTGGAAGTGGAGGAGTTGTTATGTTTAGATATTAAGTTATGGCACATGCAGATTGGTTTACAGAGGGGTGCGAGTTTTTCATTAATACACATTTGTTCCCATTTAGTAAGTGTTACTGTGCTAAGAGTTAAGTCTGGATGTTGTCTGTGCACTTTGGACAGGTAGGACTTCAGCTGTAGGTATGAGTAGAGTGAGGACAGCAGGAGTGTATATTTGGCAGAGAGACTTTGGCAGTCTAGTAGTTTGTCCACTTCGAACAGATGATAAAGGTCATACATTATCCCCATGTTTAACCCAGTACCTTGCCATGCCAAGGTACTGGGTTAAACATGGGGATAATGTATGACAGGGCCCTTAGTGGGGTTGCCAGAGAGAGGATGGTGGTGCTACCCAATTTGTGTCGGTATTTGTCCCATATCTGGAACAGGAATTGGACCTGAGTGGAAAATGGTGTCACACTATTGTTGTTTCGGGGTCCATAGCATATTGGGGATTTCATGGCCTCTCATTAGGTCTCTCACTAATACAACCCATTGCAGTCTGGTATGGCAGTCTGGAAATGATATGCTAGTACTGCTGCATGGTAATAGGTTGACATGTTGGGCAGTGCCAGTCCCCCTAGTCTCTTGTGGGTTTGTAACAGTTTAAGGGGTACTCATGCTTTTCCCCCTACCCACACAAATCTCCCCACGTCCGATCAGATCACCTTAAAATAGGAAGGGGGTAAGCGGAGAGGTATAGTGCGTAACAAGTACAACACCCTTGGTATTATGGACATCTTAAGTGCTACTATGCGATCTGTCCACGACAGCTACAGCGGTGCCCATTGTTTCAATAGTTGGTTACATTTGTTCCAAACAGAAATGTAGTTTGCCGCCATGAGGTTTGTGGGATTTTTTGTGATCGTGAGCCCTGAGTATTTGATGGAGTCTGTTCTCCAGTCAAAGTCATAAGCGGGGGTAAGGGAGCCAAGCAGGGAGGTCAGCATGCCTATAGGCAAGGCTTGTATTTTAGTCACATTCACGGAGTAATAGGAAACCTGGCCACAGGTTTGAATACGTTGCTTCAATGTGGGGAGGGATTCTTGTGGATTTGTAACATACAATAGTACATCATCAGCAAAGGTGCTAATTTTAATCTGTTTGTCACCCAGGTTTACCCCTTGTATGGACTCATCCTGTCTAATAAGGTGTAAAAGGGGTTCTCAGGCGCGGACATACAGTAGAGGGGAGAGGGGTCACCCCTGCCTCATTCCGTTCGTGATTCAAAATGTGGGGGAGAAGAATCCCAATTAGATTACCTTGGCCGGTGAGGAGTACAATGCGAATATTACAATGCTAATGAAACTTCCCTTATGTAGTGGGTAATGTCTGATGGTTGGGGGTGGGTTATGGTGTTGTCAAGACGGAGGATATACAATTTGGAGTATAAGTCTGCAAGTACCCTACTGATTGCTTGGGGATTAATATGTTTCTTACCCTCATCATCTATGAGGGGATATCTTAGAATGTGCCATTTTAGCTCGGAGCCTAGCCACCAAGTATTTGGTGGCTTTGCCGGAGGTGTGTTATGTAGTGGCCTGCAACTTGTAAAGGAGACGGTTTGTTTTTTCTGCGTGAAGTTGGGCTATTGTCGAATGTAATGTATTGATTTTGGCCAATTAGTCCTGCGTAGGGTTAGCTTTTTTTTTTTTTTGCAAAGAGTCTAGTTTTTTATAGGACTCCAGGAGTTTGGTTTGGTTCTGTTTTTTGAGGTAGGAGGACCTCCTGATAAAAAGCCCCCTGACCACTGCCTTATGGGCGTTCCAAACCTCCACATTCCCATTGTCTTTTGAAATAGCTTGTCAGTTCCGACCGAATGGAGCCCCTAGACAAATTATCTGTCAATAGTGACTCGTTGAGGCCCCACTGCCCCTTACCTTTAAATTGAAACTCGTCATGCACAAGCAAGTGGACTGGGCCGTGGTATGACCAGGTGATCTCCCCTACCTTCCGCTAATTCAGACAAAGTGGTATAATCTAGGAAGAACGTAGGGATAAGCCAAATGGCAAATGATTTAGGTAAACTAGAAAAATGGTCAGAGCTGTGGCAACTGACATTTAATGTGGATAAGTCCAAGATAATGCATCTTGGACGTAAAAACCCAAGGACAGAGTACAGAATATTTGATAAAGTCCTAACAAAAATATCTGAGGAAAGGGATTTAGGGGTGATTATTTTTGATGACTTAAAGGTAGGCAGACTATGTAATAGAGCAGCAGGAAATGCTGGCAGAATGCTTGGTTGTATAGGGAGAGGTATTAGCAGTAGAAAGAGGGAAGTGCTCATGCCATTGTACAGAACACTGGTGAGACCTCACTTGGAGTATTGTACACAGTACTGGAGACCGTATCTTCAGAAGGATATTGATACTTTAGAGAGAGAGTTCAGAGAAGGGCTACTAAACTGGTTCATGGATTGCGGGATAAAACTTACCAGGAAAGGTTAAAGGATCTTAACATGTATAGCTTGGAGGAAAGACGAGACAGGGGATATGATAGAAACATTTAAATACATAAAGGGAATCAACACAGTAAAGGAGGAGACTATATTTAAAAGAAGAAAAACTACCACAACAAGAGGACATAGTCTTAAATTAGAGGGACAAAGGTTTAAAAATAATATCAGGAAATATTACTTTACTGAAAGGGTAGTGGATGCATGGAATAGCCTTTCAGCTGAAGTGGTAGAGGTTAACACAGTAAAGGAGTTTAAGCATGCGTGGGACAGGCATAAGTCTATCCTAACTATAAGATAAGGCCAGGGACTAATGAAAGTATTTAGAAAATTGGGCAGACTAGATGGGCCGAATGGTTCTTATCTGCCGTCACATTCTATGTTTCTATGTTTTTAACGTATATATATGGGTGTATGTATTATGCACTTTGGAGTGAAAAGATCTTTAAAAAGCCCGAGAGAACGGGCGAAACGCGTTGAAGTGCTAATGGCATCCAGGACGTAGAGGTTTTGATGACGACAGCCTGCTTTTGAACCGACCACACACAGACACGGTTAGCTTGTACGCTACACTCCACCCCCTCAGCGCTGAGATCGGGCGGGAGTTTTGAATTACCAGAACTAGTGGACGGTAAAACGGCTATTCAGCCTCTGATCCACTGGCGGATCCAGGGGGGGGGCAACGGGGCAATTGCCCCCCCCGAGAAATCCGCCGGTCTCCCTCCCCTGCCAGCACATGCAGGTGCTAGCCCTGCAATGTGCCTGTGGACCGGAGGGGAGATCAGAGATCTCCCTCCCCGGTCCGCAGGCACTGTGCTGACAGCCGGCAGGGGAGGGAGAGGGAGGACCCGGGAGCTCAGTCTGCAGCTCCTCCGGGTCCTCCTCTCGCGAGATTTGAAGCGTTGCCGCGGTTACCACAGCAACGCTCCAAATCTCGCGAGAGTGAACTCTAGCCCGGGAGCGCGGGCTAGAGTTCACTCTGACCACCTGACCACCAATGAATCCCCACTGGAACCACCAGGGATCGAAATATGTCCCCCCTCCTCCCCAGTAAAGGTAAGAAGGGAGGGGGGACATAGGATAATATTTATTTTAATTAAATAAAAAAAATATTATACTATAAAAAAAAAAAAGCCACCCTACCCTGATCACACACACACACATAGCCCCCATACTGCCCCCCCCATACACACATACTACCCCCCCATGCTGCCCCCCCATACACA